GAGACCCGCGGCCGCACGCGTCACTTCCGCCGCGTCGCCTCGCGAGAGCTGCGCGGCCTCCTCCTGTCGCCGTTACCAGGGCGACCCCCGCCAGCCGGAAGTCGCCGGCTCCTGTAAACAGCCCCGCCCCCTCCCCGCCCTCGAGGCCATTTTACTGGGCAGAGTGGTGACTCAGCAGCTTGTGGTGTCGTCATCGCCGCCCTTACGTCACTGTGTCGTCACGGTCATGTTGCAAACATGGCCCCCAGCCCACCCACAGGGCAGCGCTGGCTGTCAGGAATGACAGGGCCCCTCTCCCTATTCAGATGCCTGACCACGGGTCCTCGCATCTGTCATCGTGCTGACATCATGCCTACTTCATGCCGCTACAACACGCCTCAGTCACGGTTCTGACATCACACTTGCCCTCCAGGAATTAAACATGGATCCCCAGAGACAAACGGCTGAGAGTCACCCGGGAGATAAATGACCAGGCGTTCGTTAACACAAATAGTAAACGCCGATGTCCTTGGAAGACGTACAAAAAACTAGGACTCTGGGTTCCAAAATGATAACTTTTATTAGATCAACTGGGAAATCGCAAGAAAACTGTCCTTTTCTGCAAGCTTTCGGGACCAAAGTCCCTTCGTGAGGCTCTGGGGAAAGTCTAGCTGGTACAAGATGGGGAGAAGTCCCCATCGGTAGGGAATAAGCTTCATTTTTGCACAGAGGGAGCTGAAGATGGAAGGCTGTCCTGCTGGGTCCACGAGAGCGCCAGCTATGTCCTCAGACCAACACGGCTACGACCAAAAACCCAGAATCCAATCTATACAGTAGGCCAGTGGGTTTGTTAAATGTAATAGTAATGTGCCTGTGCCTTCCTGGCGTAAAGTCTACACACCAAAATCCATCGTGGATACGTGCAAGCACGCGGGCACGTCTGCGTTGTGTGTTGCCGTCACGTCGGCCTTCCCGAAATCTCCCGGAATAGATTCAAACTATTTGGCAACCCTACACACACATCGCTCCATCATCGTCCCGTCTCCTCTCATCATTTTCTGGCAGTTTTTCAAGAAACAAGCAATCAGGTGGTCACCTAGATTTGGGCCCATTGAGTACATTGGACAATACTTAGGATAGTTATGCGAGTTCCTGATTGAAATGACTGTTATAAACGCAATGATGAATTAATTATGTATCTATCATTCTTGATAGCAAAAGGGATACCTACTTATCTGTCGACACTTTTGCCTTGCACTGATAAAAATCAGGCTTCTGCAGTGCTTGATTGTAATATGGTGGTACAATGCAAATAGCCGAGGGCTGCACATACTATATCACCTTTACCACAGCTTTTGGTGCAGAGAAATTCAACGTGTTTTCCAATGCTGCGATTACTTCACAAACGGAAGATGTATCTGGAATAAAAGCGGTGTTTACATCTACCATTTGAGATATAAATACCAATAAAAATGATATTTACATCTACCATTTGAGATATAAATACTAATAAAAGCTATATTTACATCTATCATTTACATCTACCATTCATAGTAAAGTCAGCTCAAGTTATTTCTACCTGAGTTACTCCTTTCAAGGTGGCTGAGTTCAAGTGAGTGGATAGTTGTCAGCTAGCACACGCGTGCAGCACTGTTGACAGGATTCGGCACGCTTTGGCTCCCGACCATAGCATGAATACTTCAGTCGGTATAAATGGGAACTCAGATTCCACCCTGTAGAGGAGAGCGGTACCATGTGAACCAGCAAGAAGTTGCGAAGCACAGTATTCAAGAGTTGCCAAGTATAAGACGTTCGTGCGAACAGAAGCAGTGTATTCTGATATACCACAAACATGAACAGGGTCTTTCTGCCCTGCAGCGTGAAAACCATACACGGGCTATCATTGTTTCGTCAGAAATGTCAGATGTGGGATGAAATATTGAGTCAGAGGAGAATATGGTCTTGAAACTATTAAACATCTTCCCTCCCAACCTTCTGTTATGTTCAGCCTGACCTAGTGATTAGAACAACCTGGACTTTTGTTCCCTTTCTGTATTACTGACTCACTCTGTGACCATGGGAGAGGCATTATACTTTCCTGTACCCCAGTGGTTCTTTTTGTAAAAGAAAAATAATAATGTTGTCCTTTGAAAAGAACGGTAGCGTCCAAAGATGAAAGTATGGAAGTGAACTATGGAAGTACAAAGTATCAGTATGGCCAGCAATTGATATATCTCACCCCACTTGCCAATGTTAGTGGCTGCCTAATCTTTGTCACTCATGCATCTTTAACAGCTTAATCCTTCCAACTGTCATCTTTCGGTATTCATTTTTTATTATGGACCACAATACACACACTCTTCGTGGTTGATTGTTACTGTGTCTGTCAGCAACGCAGCCTTACACATTTGTTTCCTCTCTGAATAGACTAACCTAAAACATCCCAAATGCAGGGGGGCTGGACCCGATGATCTTGCAAGGTCCCTCCAGCCCCTAACATCTATGAATCTATGAACCCACCTTCTGCATATGTATAGACCGCAGCTAGCTAAAAGAAAAAAACCTCTCTTCAGAACTCATTGTATGAGAATTTGCTCTGGGAAACAAAGTGAAAGGGAGCAGGTTTTTATTATAACTATGAAATTCCTTCCCTTTCTACCTAGGTATCTTATTTAAAATCTTTCCATGGTAAAATAATATTTTAATTTCCATAAAGCCCTGTAGCCTAGAGGATCTAAAAATAAGGTACATTGTTATACATATATAAAAGTATAAGTAAGAACCATGTATATTCCATGAAGTTTGCTAGAATATACTGAAAAATCTCTTTACACACACAGAGGTTTGCAGATGAGAGCCGTGTTTCATGACAGGTTTCTCTTCTCAGGTCTGTGAAAACACTAAAGGAACATGGTCCTTCCACAAAGAATTACGCATTCTGTATCCAAGGAGTAAACGCTCAACTTGAGTCTCAAGACCAAATTAAAATCAGCATTAGTGTCTATTGATGACTGTGTCTGGATTCCCCATATTTCTGTGTCCACTTACAGCACCATTGTTACGAAACTTAGTTCTCATTTATGGGCTAAGAGCTGATAAATCCGTTAAAGGGTGTAATGTTGTAATGTAAAGCCCCAGTGCTTCACGTGTCTTTCTGAGGTCCAGGAAACTGGTTGCTTCATTAAAACCACTGATATCCTTTCTGTGGAACAGATAATGTTTGAAGACTCCAGCAGGTTACATTAGCCAGGATGAGCACAGTCCTGCCTATTAGCCCCCTCGCATACTTTAAGTCTCCCAGTCGTTCTGACAAATGAGGACCCATGTGAGGAGCAATCCTGCTTCATACTGGTCAGCATCAGAAGGTAACTGCAACTCCTGTTTCCTTTTTTTTTTTTTAAAGAACATTTCTGTGATAGTTTAGCACTGATGAAAAGTGCTACCCTGACAGTCCTGAGCTCAGGAAAACCTCTGCCCACAGAAGATACAACAGAAGTATCCATACTGCAAGCCTTCCCGCCGGATGCAATGCCTACCATCCATATGCTCAGCCACGACTTGTATGAATTCTGGGTTCATAAATTGTTGTGTCCTGTTAATACTTAGCTTCTTTGCTGTCACTAACGGTGACAATTAGGGCCAGCTCCGGTGATTGTACATATTAATTATATGGACACATCTTCTGAGACCTGGAATGAGAGCCATCCAACATGTATCATTGACAATGGCTTTTGCTGACCTGACCAGCTTCAAACCAACATATTAAAAAGGGTCTAAGGCTCATCACTAGTTCATCCTGACACTTAAGTTCCACCTGTATCCTTCATGCTGGCTGAAAGCCATGGAAAGCCTTTTCAGGTTTGGCAGTTTTTGCTAAAAGTCCTTTTTTAAGCCATATGCTTTGTCAGACAACAGCTTCACTCATATTAGCCTGGAGCATTAGCAACTTATGCAGTTTAAGTCTCTGCACCCCAACCCCAAGTTCTAGCAGTAATCACAAAGTGGGTGTTGTCCTGGCCTGCAAATGAAATCATCTATCTACTCTCCAAATCAAAGTATATACTTTACAACTTCAACACATTTTATATGACAAAAATGCTTTATTTTTTACTGTATCCCAAAGCCATCTGGTGGGTGGATCAGAAGTTGGAAGTATATCACAATATTATTATGAATTTGGATTACTTTTGATTAATGATTATTAGAACAAGGATTAATGAGAAGATTTGGAGAGAATCCCTTACACAAACAAGTGCATGTCAACTGGATCCTGCGTGTGCCTCAGACAGGCCAGAAGAGTTTTTAGAGCGTGTGAAGCAACTTGGTGTTTGTGAGCAGAGCTGGAACCATGTCGTGGGAAATACTGAAGAGTAAGATTTGGTCTTTACCATCTCCACACTTTGGGGATGCTCAGGCGGGGATCAAACTGTCGCTAGCCCTGTTCCAGAGCCCACCATGCTCTAGCACTGTTTACTTTGGCAGCTCTACCAAGATCCCCAGTACAGTGAGTGTCATTTGTCACGGTGTGGGGGTAAAGACAGCTACAGTATACTGCGAGGACTGGACAGTAGGGATTTAATGATCTGAATACCGATTATCTTCCCAACCATTTAATCCAAACAGGATGCAGAACAAGCTGCCATCCTGCATAGCGTGGGATCACGGTGACTGAAAGGAAGAGAATGTTTTTGGTGACTGAGAGCAAGACTGAAATAATCACCACCCTGGAAAAGGTTGCATATCAGTTATGTATTATAAACATAGCTGTTTGCTTAATATGTACATATTAAAAATATAAACATTATACATGTTTCATGAGCCAAACACTGATTTGACACTTCCCAAATAGTCTGGATAATCAAGACTCTCCTGCAGTGGTTCTGGATTTGTATAGGATGGTTTGGATAGGGATGGTCCTGCCTCAGGCAGGGGGTTGGACTGGATGACCCCTTCTCTCTCCCTCTTTTTCAACTCAAGTCACCCCTTGATAGACTTATGCCTGAAAATGTCAGCCCTTAGTTTTTTGCTGCTTGGTTTTGTTTTGTTTTCACAGAAACACAGCGTGATGCTCCGCTTGCAAAGGCCCCAGGAAGCCCAGATCAGGTCGGAAGGCATGTAACACTGCACCTTCCTATTTGCAACCTGTCTGGCCACGAGTGTTTGCATCCCGCCCGGGGCTACTGCTGTGTGACAGGCTCTCAGCTGCCGGCCCCTGGCTGAGGATCGCTGCTGTCCTGCACCGACAAGCCCATCCGATGCCCACGCGCCTGCCGGTGCGGGCCAGCCGGGCGCATTTGGGGGCTGCGCGACAAGGGGAAGCGGGGGGCGGCGCAGCGGGGCGGGTGCCAGGAAGCGAGGGGGGACAAGGGCAGGGGGCGGAGGCAGGACCGGAGCGTGCCGCGGGAAGGCGGCGCTTGCCGCAGCCCGCGCGGCTGCCCCCCCCCCCGATTTCCCCCCCCATTGCCCCCCCGCCTGCTTTGCACCCCCATTGCCCCCCCCCCCCCGACCAGGATCCTAAACCCACTGCATCTCTAACCCCGGGGATGCCTCCCTCACTGCCCGGGATGCAGCTTGCCCAGCCCTGGCCCTGATGCCATCTCCACCATGGTTCTGCTCAGCAGCTTCTTGCACCTGCAGGGCAGGCGCTGCGGGCCCTTTGCAGCCCTGGGGCTGGGCAGGGCCCCCCACCGCAGGCTCCGGGCGTGCGGGGCTGGCTGCAGGCCCCTGCGGGTGCTGGTGGACATGGACGGGGTGCTCGCCGACTTCGAAGGAGGATTCCTAAAGAAGTTCAGGGCCAGGTACCCAGACACCCCCTACATTACCCTGGAGGACCGCAGGGGCTTCTGGGTGTCGGAGCAGTATGGGCGCCTGAGACCTGAGCTGAGTGTGAGTTCGTGGCTTCTTGCCCCCCGCCGCTATCGTCCTCCCGGTGTTCCTGACGCCTAGACTGTAAGCTCTGTCGGGCAGGGACGGAGGTTCGCCGTTTGTCTGTACAGCGCCTGGCACCGTGTTTGGGGTTCGTATGATACCGGGGCGGGAGGGGGAGATGTTGGGACGCCGTTTTCTATGTTACTTTTTCCTCCAGGACCCAAGCAGTACCTCTGTGCCGGTCCATCCTGTACCTACGGTTTGGATCTGTTAAAGCAATTGGTTGTAAGAATCCACTAGCGTTTGAACCAAGTTTTCCTTCAGTGGAGAGCAATGCCGTCTAGTTTAACGCAGGGAAAAACACAGGGGCTGCCTTCATCACTAGATGCACCGTTTTACTCCTCAGCAACAAGAGCAGGGGCATAAAGCTTCAGCAAGGTTGAAAGCTGGCCAAAGTGATCCGTGTTTCAAAATGGAGCTATTTGAAACATAAACATCGTGAGAGCTTCGAAACATTAATTTTGGCTGCCTTGATCATTGGACACACAAAGCCATTATAGTGCCTGAAAAGGCAGCGGGACAGAGTGTGTGCGCGCGGGGAGGGGGGAGAGGGGGGGGAATGATAATTACTGGGCACATCTCCACGGTTGTAATGCACCTTAGATACTGTGTATTTAGTTTAGTACTTGTTTAATAAAGTACTAACTAAATGCGCAGTAACTAGAGTTACTGTCCAGTAGCACCAGCACATGGTTATTTTGTGATGCTTACTGCACATTAGCCTAATAACACTGTACAGTAGACTATTAGCATGGTTTTTAACCACCAGACTACTGTGCAGTGTTATTAGGGTAATGAGCAGTAAGCATCTCATGTAGACAAGCCCACTGTGTTTTAAGCTGTGCCTGTTTTGTGTGTCTGCGCTATCCTACAATAAGTGGAAGCTAAACCACAGTAGGTTGGCATCTGTTTCATGGTATAAGCTGCGCTGGGTTAAAAATTTAACTTGCTGCAGAATAGGAGTGAACACATGAAAAGGTTAGGAAGGATTGGCTGAGAGAGCTGTAATGAGTGGTAAGTCCCCTCTTCTGAAAGCAGCATCATTTTGTCTGTCTGCATCCTTTCTCCTTTAAACCTAAAGCTAGAAACACTACTTGTATTGTTTATGTGGCCTCATATCTGCAGAAACTTGGTTCCTGCCCAAACTGTTAATGGTCTTATTTTGAAGTTTACAGTCATATTCCCAGAGAAAGCTTGACCTGGGCCAAAGGTGTTTAAAACAAAGAAAAACACTCCTGTCTCTGATGGCACACATGATTGCAGAGCAGGGGACCAATGTAGGCCCTAGGTGGTCTTTGCTCAGTGAAACCCATGCTGAATGCAAAGGGCTGAAGGAACAAGGAGAGGGTTTGTGTTGTCTTTATAGCTGAAAAGCCACCCTGGAACTGGTGAGACAATAGAAGAAAGCCACCTCTGTTATGACAAGGCTGATCCTAAGAGTATGGCAAGGGTGATGTGTATATATTGCAAAATAATGCATGATTTCTCCTATATCTCAAAACAGTGAAGCCCTGTCTCACATTCCGGAGAACCTAGGCTTTCAGGGTCTGGATGGTATTGGATTACTGTGTACCGATCACATTAACACGTCATCCCTGTGAAACCCCCAAACTCTTGGGGTGAAAGTCCAACTTTGCCCACATCAATGGCAAACCTCCTTCTGACCTCACTAGAGCCAAGATTTCACCCCTAGTTTCAGTTTGCATCCAGCCAACAGGGGAGAAGAGTCTCACTCTGCGCGATTTGTCGGAAACAGCTTTCCTTTGTGGCACCTCTCCTCCAGATAGTCTTGACCCTGAAAGAGTTTCAACCTTGTCTGTCCAGGAAGGAATGGACTCTCCAGCGTCTTGAGACTTAAACCTCTCTTGGTCAAAGCACTAGGTCCCGTACGTTGGATACAACCTGCCTGGGCATTGGTGATCTGGCAGGGCTTTTTCCCCAGTCAGGGCTCGTATTCAGTCCCCTCCAACCCAGCCGCAAGACCTCTTTTGACTTCATTGGGAGCAGAATTCAACGTTAAGCCTCCAGGACAGAAAAGTACTTAAGCATGTGCAGACAGTTAAGTACCTGCTTAAATGCTTCATTGGATCAGGGCCTCTCTCCTCAAATGCCTGCTGCAGAAATATGTTTTATTCTTTATTTTTATTTTAAATTTCCCACTGGTACAATCCAGTGTAATTTAAGCTGCAATGTATTGGATTGTACTTCAGCCATCTGGTACCGTGACTGCTCTTCTCACATACGAAGAATTCTCTGCAGCTCCTAAGTGTTTGCGCTGCAGCACATTTTATTTTCTTAACCTGCTTTAAGATGTAGGAGAAGGCTTTTTTTTTTCAAACCACAAATGCTGCACGCATGTATTCCAGCCCCTGCAGCTAAAGGGAGTGGTGAGATTTGCTTTGCACTGCTTGCTCCTTTGAACTCGGTGTGTGCAGTCCTTTCCCATTCCAGGTGTTTATCTGTAAGACGATGGACTTGGCTTTGGCATTCTTCTGTACTGAGTGACGAACGCACAGGGCAGTAGGGGGAACAGGGCTGGGTGCAGAGCAGGCTCTCTTGGACAGCTGCACCCCCGTCACCCGCATGTCAGGAGGCAGGAGTGGCCCACATGAGCATCAGGCAAAACCTTGGTTCTGGAGCCCCCAGTATAGCTGCTTCAAGGTATGCTGTAGGGCACTGCTTGCTGAGAGCAAGGGAGAGCTGGGAGGCAGAACATGCCTCTTAGAGTCTGACTCTGCCTTCTGGATGGCTCCAGGGACACTGGAGCATTGCTTGGGGTTTGTGGCAGAGCCACGACTGAGCCCTGAAGCAGAATTCAACCTTCTCTTGCTCCTTCCATGTTTAGCCCATTATGGAAAAGTCCAATATCTTGCCTTTGTTCCCTTTCACCATAGGGTCTAGGTGAAAGCAAAACAGCTCAGTAACAATCTGGATACACTCATCCATGAGGATGAAGGCAGGGGTATGGCTCAAGTAAACTGCAGTATTCTTCACACCCCATAAGGGGCCAAAGAGAGCAGAGGGAGAGCAGTGGATCAGGTAGCTCCTACACAAGCCTTGATTATGAGAGCTTAAAGCTACCATTGTCCCTCCAGCCGAGGGGAGAAGGAGAGGATGTCGAGATCAGCACAGATCCTTCAGGGCATAGCTGCCTTCCCAGTCCGCCAAGGCTGCTACTACATCATTAGAAAGGGTTGTGACATGGTGACACAATCACTCCCTCTGTCTGCAGCTCAGCTTGCTGCCGTTGCAACTATCTCAGCCCCTCTCGACAGCTAAGCTTGGATCGCTGTGCACAGGCCATCCTGACTGCTCAATGTTGGGCTTGGTTTGTGTGTTCCCAGCCAGGTGCCTGAATCCTGTTCAGCATAGAGCCAAATGGCTCTGGAACAGGTGTGAGTCTGGGGCTTGGCGCAGCACATTGCAAACATCCTCTGAGTTTAACAACTCCAGTGAGTAGGGACGAGGAGACCTCCAGACAAAGTAAGCCCCAACAAAGGGCAAGCCAGAAGTGTTGCAATAGAAGCTTCCCCCTTTTATGAGCATAAAGGCACCAAAGGCTGCTTTCCTGGGCAGCTAGGGGCTGCAAGCAATTCAAGGCAGTGCAAAGAATTGCAGGTGCGCTAGACACTCAAGTTGCCCATTACAGGCAGCACATGAACTCTGTTCTTCCTTGTCCCAGGTTCTTGGTTCTGTGTGATCTCTGTATGTTGCCTTCCTTAGTCCTCTCTTCATACCAAGCAGTTTTCCCCAGTGGTGTTAGCCCTGCTGATCAAGATGTCTAATATTTCACATCCCTCCTCTGTGAGACACTGCCCCACCATGCGCCAGTAGCCTGATAGACCTTGCTCAGGGCTCCCGGTGGTTGGAAAGTCGATGCTCCTCTTGCAACCACATCCTACAGGGGGAATTTTGGATGCTACTGGACATTCTCTCATAGGGATTGGACACGTCACACGTTTATACCAGTGTAATCAGTCTTTATGACAGCATAAACAAGGAGCGGACAGATGAGGGACAACCCTATGCTGCTTCAACATACTTGAATCTGGTGTGGCATCATCCTGGGAAAAATCAGGTGTAAAACTATACCAGTATAAGTTCCTTTGCTGCATGTGTCTGCAGCTCTCCCAGAATAGCCTTTTTACAGGCAAATAAACTGTTGCTTGCTCCACCAAACAGCCAATTGCTGTAATAGCATCTACTGTGAGCTGCTACCCTACTAGAACTGGTTGTCTGCCCACTCTGGACACTGATATAATTGACACTGGTGTACAAAACCAATATACATTATGTGGGTGTTAATGCATCTTGTGTCTGAGACCAAGAGAGACTCAGGTTATGAAGCTCAGCTGCTGCTGCTGACTTTTACTGAATGGGGGGAAACTAAGCCCTGGCCTAGCCCCTCTATTCTTTATCTTGTGATAGCCCTTAGAAACCTCAACTTGGACCAGGGCTTCCCTGAGCTCGGCGCTGTACAGACACTAGACAAAAATTAAGTCACTGCCCCAAAGAACTTACACATGAAATATAAGGAAGATTTAATGCGAGAGACAACAGAGGGGAGCCCAAGAAAACAATGAAGCAATACATGTCATGCTTGTCACTGCTTGCCATGGAAGGCACTGATTTCGGCCTACCCTACCCAGCCTCTGCAATACTTAAATCAAATGAAGGGGTTTTTGTGAGGCAAAAAAAAGGAGGGACAAAATGTCAGGAGGCACCATCCAGTAACCAGCTTATGTTCCCTTTTGCAGGAGAAAGCAATAAGCATATGGGAGTCGAAGAATTTCTTCATCGAGCTGGATCCACTCCCAGGCGCTGTGGAAGCTGTGAAGCAGATGGCCAATATGGAGAAGTAGGTACACAGCTGCACGGTGGGGAGGGGGAGCTGGTTGCAGCAGTGGGAGCAGCTCCTGGAGTCCTGGCTGATTGATCCTGAGGGCTTGTCTGCACTGCTTCCATGCTGGGCTGGTCCTTGGGAACAAGGCAATGGCATGCCAGTCAGGCTGCCTCATTTCTGGGAGTTGGTAGTAATGTGTGGTGCCCACTTCATGGTGGCATTCTTGGACAGGGCTCAGGGGCACAGTAGACACAGCCCAAGATGAACATACCAGGATCTCCATGCGGAGTGTGCTCCAATCTGGTTAATCCTGGTTGACAACCCCTTTGTTCCTCCAATTGTGGGGTTTTGTTCGTAGGCCAAGGCTGCGCTGCTTTCAGCTGTTGGGAGAGTACCTTTCAGGAGCCAAACACACACACACAACTCAGGGCAGAGTATTGAGTGCACACGCACAACTCAGGGCAGAGTGTTGAGTGTACACACACAAACACACACACACTACTCAGGGCAGAGTGTTGAGCACGCACTAGGCTGCTGGACAGCTTGGCAGCCGTGGTGCTACGGATCAATACAGCGGGGGGTTACACAGTTCATTTTGCCACTCAATCATGTTCTCCCTCTGTGTTTTTTGGCAGCACTGATGTGTTCATCTGTACAAGTCCAATCAAGATGTACCATTATTGCCCTTACGAGAAGGTAACCAATGAGCTCTGGGATAAGGTGGGGAGGGTAAGCTCAGAGGAGGGGGTGGGTAGAGCAGGAAGGTGGTGACTGGCATGCAAATCTCCTGCTCTGTAACAGCCGGCAGGGAACCTGCAGCTGGAACAGGGGTTGTAGGAGAGAGAATTTTGGAGGGTGACATTAGTAAGCTTTTGGGAAGCTCTGTGTGCTCAGAGCAGTGTGCAGTAGCACTGAGCACCCTGCAACATGTATCCAGGATGCTCTGGGGAGCATGCCCAACCCACTTGCTCCTCCTGCACAAGCACCAAATCCTGCATGAGGCAGTGGAGCTACCTTAGTGAGGCACTGCATCTGCAACGATATGCCCTTCGGAGAGAGCACAGAAGGGTGCCGAGCCTGAGCTCTGGACTCTTGCAACAAGATTCCAGGTGTCCTTGCATTTGGACTCAAATGTGTGTGTAAAATACCAGCCCTCACTTAAGGATAAAACAGGTAATAGATTGCTGCAAGCAGGAGTGAGATAAAATCTAAGGAAAACATGCAAGGTTTATACAAAAGGACACGTGAGCAGGGTTAAATACATATGGCTCCAAGGAGGGTGCTGTATTGTGGCTGCCTTCCAATGCTGATCCTTGTTGCCAGGGGACAAGGGCTGTGCAGGCTGCAGTGGGAAGCTCCCGGTCCACCCTGGGCTGCTGCTCTAACCACTCTGCCCTTTCATTTCCAGTATGCATGGGTGGAGAAGCATTTTGGCCAAGAATTTCTGGAGCAGATTGTTCTCACCCGTGATAAAACTGTGGTCTCTGCTGACCTCCTCATAGATGACAGACCGGATATAACAGGTAAGGGAGATTCCATCCGATTATGATCACTGTGGGCTGTGTCTAGGGGAAGGCAGGGGGTTTTCCTTATTTCTCCTGGTTGAGACTGAATGTGTCAGGGACCTCAGGGCAATGTGCTGCCAGCTTGATAATGATGCTATTGGGGCTGATATTATTGAGCAAGAGCTACTGAAACCTCCTGGCATCAAGTGCCAGTTAGAACTGGAGACTGGGACTGGAATTTCCCAGCATCTGGGAAGAGGTTGGTTTAACCCAAGGTAAAGAGGGTCTGGCGGGGACACTTACATCCAGAGCTGATCCTCTCGCAAGCCAGGGTGAGTAGGATCAGCCTAGTGGATGGAGCACTGAGCTGGGATTCAGGAGGTCGGGGTGCAGTGCTTGGCCACTTCGTACGAGTTCTTTTATCATGCTCATCTGCACAGTATCTGAGCACCTTATTATAGAGGCAGTGGGACTAATGCTGCTTGTGACCTTGCTCACTCAGCCCCTGCTCCCATGTGTGGGCTCAGACAAGTCATTTAATCTCCCCATAACCTCCATTTTCCCCTAGCTGTGAATGGATGTAGTCCTTCCCTCCACATACAGGTGGAGTAGGGTTAGGGATAAACACCTCTGGTAACTGAGAGTCATGCATGTCTGTGTGGAGGGCCGCAACAGTAATCAGAGAGGCAGGGTGTGTTCAGCCACTGCTAATGAAATCCTAGACCCATGAAAGTCCAGTTCCAGCTTAAAGACCCTGTGCAGGGCACTGAACCTCCTAGCTAGGTCACGGTGGAGCCTGGAGACCCTTGTCTGAGTTACTCTGCTCTTCCCATCTTTCAGGTGCCGAGCCAAACCCCAGCTGGGAGCACATCCTCTTCACAGCTTGTCACAACAAGCACCTGCGGCTGAAACCCCCCAGCAGGAGGCTTCACTCATGGACCGACGACTGGCGGGCAGTCCTGGACAGCAAACGGGCAGCGCGCAACCAGTTAATTTAAAGCAGGAGCGGCCTGTGGTTGTACATCATCAGGCTGCCCTTGGTTCCACCCAAGGCACTCTGTGGCATCCAGCTGGAAGCTGAAAACCACACAGAGACACCAGCCCCCGCTGAAGCAGTCCATGAGAAGAGATGCCCTGCCTCAACCCTGTGGGAGGGGATGGTTGCTGCCACCTGGGTCCCTGTGAATAGGACCGAACAACAATTGTATTTGATAAGCTAAAAGCCACTGAGCCACGTGCAGCTGTTGTGGAAGGGGAAGGCCCTTGGAGGGACACTGAGCCCCTGTTTTTTGGTTATTGGGTGTGCTCCTCACACCTGCTTCTGTGATATCTGTGGTGTCTGCTGTGAGGTCCACTGTGTGGCTGACTGAGGCACCCACTGCTCAGCCTGTGACCTGGAGTCCCACGGACTTGCTTAGCTGTGCCAATGAGCTGAAATCCCCTCCGCCTACACTGCTGCTGGGGCCCGGACCAGCAGCCAGCTCGGTCTAGCACTTACCCCAGGCCTGTCCTCCAGAATGCGGGGGAACAGTTTTTCCCTCTCTCACCTCCCCACGAGACTGGCTTTTCACTCCTTGGCTTGCCTGCTGTCACCCCTCCAAGGAGACCATCCCCAAGCAGCATATGGAGTGGATGGTTTCTCTTCAGAGCTGTGAACGGGCGACTGGGGCTGCCTCCCAGGACCCTTGTTATTAAAGAAGGTCCTTAGGGTTTGGGTGGTGACTCCCTGCCAGCCAAGACTCTGCCTAGCCCACCGATAGATGCCAAGGGAACGCCCTCCTCAGAGGGTTACTGTGCAGCCTTGCCAGCTCTCTGCCCTCCTAGAGGGGTAGAAACATCTGGAAACATGCAGCACAGAAGACTGACAATGGCAGACATCCAGGAAGGATCAGCCTTCAAAGCTGGCAGGCTGTACGTAGACCCCATGTTCTGGCTCAGCTGTGATCTGTGTGGCATCTGACAGCTACATCCATGTCAGGGCCAGGGACCCATATGATCAGACTGGAGGGAGACTGGCCTAGCAGTGATAGGCCCAGGATGACGGCTCTGGAGGAAAGGTATAAACAGTGACAGCTTCAGGATCTGGGGGACGGGGTGACCCTGAAACTTCAATCCATCTTACTGCACTGCATGGAAGTAGCCTGACCTCAGCATGACCTGTTTTCCTGCACAGCCCGTCCTTATTGCACATGACAGTCATGCCCAGCCTTCAATTGCCCTGCAGTCTGGGTTGGTGAAAAACCAAGCTCCTACGACAGGCGGTGATATGACTCCAGGCACTGGGGACCTGCTGCAACCACTGCTGCTCCAGAGGCCTAAAACTGGTTTGGACATGACCCCAGAAGCACCCTCGTAACAAAGGGGTCTACAGACAACCTGTACATTTGCCAATGGCCACCCTGGGGCTGAGGAAAGCAATCAGAGCTCCATCCTTGGTCAAGATTACGCACATCCTCATTCATGCTAGGGGGGAAGCTAATCTATCCCAAGATTGATTTCCTCAGGAGACAGAGGTTCCCCAAGCCCTTCACTAGCTTGAAGTCACCTATGGGCTACTACTTCCCTTTCCTCCTGTGAATTTTGAGGCTCTTCTTCCCACTCAGTGCCTGACAAGACACTGGCAGTTCGCGCGGCGTGCTCCATTACTGGGAAACACCAGGACAGCTGTTAACTCCAGATGGCAGCCCCTTGAGACGGCCCGGCCCATTTTATAATGACTGGCGTATCTCTTGCAGATGTTCTGCACAGAAGGGTTCATCATAGCCCACAGGCCAGTAAGTGTCTCTGTCAGCCTATTAAGCCTTCCATTACCAAAGCATGGTGTGTGTGAGCATTAAACCGCATGGTCCAAAGCATCTCCCCTGTTTTTGCCCCATACCCGAAGAGATCTCATGGGAAAACTCAGGCTTCAACCCCTTGCTATCTGAAAGGTTGATCATGGATTAAGAAGAGGGTCAGAGACATGGGGCACTTGCCTGCCAGTGGCACAAACTGTACGGTGGCTGAAGGTTCATGCTTTCCAGCCCGGGGCAAGGATGCAATTAATGCTCTGACTCTCACATGCTTTAACATTGGCACCATTGAGCCTGGGTATTTTGGCAGCTGCCAGGAGGAAAGGGAGTTGGACGAGGGAGGAGGGCATAACAAATCCTCCGTCAATGGCGCCGGGAAAGAGCTATGTCTTCCGTGTTTGAT